GGGCATGGCTCCAGGGGGTGGCACCGGCGGGGGGAACGAGCCAGGAGGTGGGATGCCTGAGGGAGCAAAGGATCAGTGAGAGCACTACCCCCGCACAAATCGTCACCCCACAGGCCTGCATGCTGCGGCCCCGCCTTTCCCAGCTACGCAAGAGCCAATGGCATGGCTCAGGGGAGCAAGGCATCCCAGTGATGGGCCAATCAACTTGGGGATGGAAAGCCTTGCATTGATTGGTCCAGTACAAGAGATACTCATCTCAGAGCAGGTGACATGGCCAACCACCTGGGGGGCAGGCAGCGTTCCTTTCTAAGTGGGGTCAAGAACCAGGCTTGAAAACCCCCTGGTCCGAGCACAGCAAGGGGCTGGCGTTCTGAGCCCCCAGAGCTGTGTTCCGGGCCCCACATGTAGGCAAGACCCCGGCCAACAAATCAGTGCCAACCCAGAGCAATGGGCACGCTTGCCACATCCCTCCCTGTGGTCCAGCAAAGCCCTGGCATTGCTTCAATACCAACCCAGAGAGCAATAGCCCGTGACAGACTGCACCCAGCCACCACCAAAGCACAGAGATTCCCTCACCTGGTGGTGTGACCCCGGGGCCCAGGGATGTGACAACCGGGGTGGGCACAGACGGCGGAGGAGGGGCGTCTGCAAACAGCTGATGGGGCCGGTCAGCCTGCGAGAGAGGGTTTTGGGCGGCAAGGAGGCGCTCAGCTGCTGATCCATGACGCTCGCCCTTGGAGTCCTTCTTGAAGGCATAGGAGACGGTGATGGGGCGGTTGCAGAGGTACTGGCCGTTCATGGCCTCGATGGCAGCGTCCGAGGCGTCGAAGCTGGCGAAGTTGATGAAGGCATAGCCCTTGGAGTTGCCCGTGTCGGGGTCCCGCATGATCTTGGGTGTCTGCAGGATGACGCCGAAGGCGCTGAAGGTGTCGTACAGCAGCTTCTCGTCGATCTCTGGGTCCAGGTTGCCGATGAAGATGTTGGCACCCACGTCCAGGTTCTTGTTGTGTGCCGAGGCCTTGTTCACCCGGATGGGCTTCCCGTACAGCTTGATCATGTTCATGATCTTGATGGCATAGTCGGCATCCTCCTCACTGAGGAACTCCACAAAGCCATAGCCTACAACACACCGCAATTCACTGGGATGGGATGCAGCCCCTGGGACCCACTCGAACCCCTCTCCCCCCTGCTCTCCGCTTCCTCATGACCCCTGGCCCCATCAAAGCCAAACCCTGCTTCCTCTGCGTTTCTCTCTCCTGTTGGCTCATCTGGAAGTGCCCCCTTCACACCTACCCCGACCCCAACTGCTGATGGGAAACCTTCTCTGCTCCACCTGCCGGTCAGATCCACCTCAGTGCATGTATATATGACCACATAACCCAGGGATCTTTTTCTTCCCAAGTTCTCTCACCCCCAGCTCTGATAAGTTGTATCAGTTTAACTCAGTAGGGGGAAACCTTTGTGGCAGACTAATTTGAGTGCAACCCGAGGGGCACACCTGCTGCTGCACTAAAGCACTACAAGAGCTGAAACATGCACAATACATATGTAGCCTCAAAGCTTTCTGGGCCGCCCTTCCTGTCAGTCCTCGGAGCAGTCCTTCTGCCTGGCAGCTCAGGGCCCTGTTCTCTGAGCACGGGTGTGCTACCACCGTAGATCTCACTTCTAACACACCGTTTACTCCCTGCTCCAGCAACATTGAAGACGACTAGTAAGACGAGGTCCTTGAAAGCCTTTCCCTCCCAGCGGGGGCTGACCCACACAAGAACTGCCAGTTACTGGGTGAGGCCACAGGCCCACTTTGCCCTGTCTCCCGTCACGTGGCAGCAGAGAGCGGATGCTGAAAGGAAGAGCGAGCTGGGTCCGATCAGGGTTTTCCCCGCTGTTCCTCTCTCCCTTGCTGCCTCCAGCATATAAAACCCAGGTTTTACCACGAAGGAGATTTCTCACCTTGGTGCTGGCCCGTGACCCGGTCTTTGGGCATGTGCGTGTTGACCACGGGGCCGGCCTGGAGGAAGAGCTCCCACAGCAGCGGCTCGCTGACCTTCTCGTCCAGGCCGCCGACGTAGACGGTGGCATCTTGACAGGGAGAGGCGAAAAAAAGGAGCGTCAGTCACGGGCTCGAACAGGGGCAGGGACCGGGGCCGAGTCCTGGGGGCTCAGAGCACGACAGCAAGGGCAAAACCTTCCTCGCTCTGTGACGCAAACCTCAGACCCTCACTGCGGAGAAATATGGGGCCAGCAAGGCCACATTCAAGAAAGGGGCGGCTTATATGGCCGCCCTGGCGCTGCATTAACTGGGCTGGATGGACCCAGTCGGACACTGCCCGTGTCCCCGAGGACCGAGAAGGGGGTCAGTGCACGGCGACCCCCCCGGCAGCACGGACGAGCACAACGCAGGGTCCTCACGCAAACCCCCCAGTCCGCCCCGCGCCGGGGGGAAACCCCTGCCTGCCCCTTTGGGGCCAGGGGCCTTGGCCCGACCCGCCCCGGCCCGCAGCAGCGCCCGCGCGCTGGGGGCTTAAAACCCCGACACGTGGACCTGGCCCGGGGGCGCCCCCAGCCCAGCAGCCGCCGGCGCCCCGGGAGGGTGCCGCCGCCGCCGCCGGGCAACCTCCGACCCTTCACCTCGCCCCCTCCCGACACTACTTCCGGTTCCCGTCTAAGCCGGAAGTGCGCTCCCCGGCGGCCATGTTGGCCAAAGGCGGCCATGTTGGAATCGGGCGGGAGCTGCACCCGCGCGCGGGGCGGCCATGTGGGAGCCG